GTAATGATAGGTTACAGAACAAACAATTTTATAAATAATTACTTAAATTCACTATGTAATAGCAAATTAAGAAGAATGATATCTACAAGAACTTTAATACCATCTTTTTCTTTGGTCAGTTAAACATCGTTAAATGTCGATTTGCACACACACACACACACACACACACACACACACACACACACACACACACACATTATTAAAAATCATAAAGATTTTTATTAAAATCTACTTACACACTAGAAATAATAATTATAAATTCATGATACTCAATTTATGATAAATTAAAGTTAATTTAGATTTTTTCAAATTAAAAATTAATTAATTAAATTTAATTAATTAAACTAAAAAAAATATCTATTTTGTTGTTGGGTTGCCTATTTTGTTGTTGGCTCCATTGTGAAAGCGATGGACTTGTAATTTGACAGGTCGCTAGTTCAAATCCCGCACGACATATTTACAAAAAATTTCGTAATTCATACCCCAGGCGAGTACAGCGGAAAGCTCAAAATCTCGCACTGTTATGTTAGTCTGCCTCAAAGATTCTGGAGAAGGCAGAGTTTCACTCCAAGAAGAAAAAAGCCGAACAAACAAGAATATCCTGATATCAAGCTATAATATGTGCACAATGAGGCGAGAATACCTACAGAGTCTATTATAAAAAACAAATTCAGAAATATTAAGAGAAATGGAAGAAGTCTATGTCTTGGAGTAGGTGAAAATAGACTAAAGAAAAAAAAGAGAAAGAAGTGAGCTATACAACCTCCAGCCGAATTCTATGCTCCTTTAAGTATTTAAGCAACATAATCACATGTTAAATTTACATTCAAATTTGTTAAAAATTTAACACAATCTTTAACAAGGATTTGAGTGGACCATTTCCAGCACAAGTACGAGACGTTTTTACTGTGTATATATAACAAAAAATTTTGAAATAAATATGCGAACGAAAAAGACTACTCACTTCCTTCATAGTGATTGAAAAAAGTTGATGTGGGATCGTGTTATTGGTAAGGACGGACTAATCTTAGCACCGCGTTCTTAAGAAATATAAATTAAGAATGATTGATTGAAACATCAAATTCTGTTTTCTTACATGGCTTATGTTAATAACTAAACACGCAAAATAAATCATAGCATTATAAATGCAATGTAAAATTTTTTTATGTTTATGTTTCCCAATCAATCATATCAATTAAAATTCTTATTCGAACAATATTTTATTCAATTTATCTTAGTAAAACGTATAATAAATTTAGATAGCAAAAATTGTATAAATCAAATATAAACTTGGAGAGAAAGGGCACTAGGAATCAGGCGAAGATAACTTTACGCAAATGCTAATGTATAACAAATATTCTTTATTATAATAGATGCGCTTACATGTTTCGACTCATATTTGAGCCTTCTTCAGACAATGCAAAAACATAAATAAAAATAAAATTAAAAAGATCAAGAGATATTTTATCATAGTGAGCTCGCCACAACCAAGATATCAAATCTGATGTTAATTCCATCTAACAATATACATTACGTACATAAAGGGAAATAAAAAAATAAACAAAGAAAATAGAGAAAAGAAGAGTATGCTGAAACTAAAAAAAATCTAAGTTAATTTTGTAAATAGATATTTTAAATTTGCAAATATTTTGTATCGGGAAACATGTAAAGCTGTTATAATAAAGAATATTTGTTATACATTAGCATTTGCGTAAAGTTATCTGCGCTTAACTCCTAGTGCCCTTTATCTCCAAATTTATATTTTATTTCATAAATCTTTTCAATTAATCACAATATAATATCTCATAAATAATAAATTATCTAAATATACAAACATAATAAATTTTATTAATTTTAATCTTACTCTCTCTCTTTTATTTTTAATAATACATTTTTTCTGTAAATTATCTTTTTATTTTTATAATAATTTCTCTTCCATTTTTATTTACATTAATATAAAATATAACTTAAATTGTTCTTTAATTAATATTCAAGTTAAATGTTTTTTTTTTAATATCCCGTTGTGATTTTGTAAGTCATCAACAAATTTTTTTTTAATATTTTGTTATTAAAATATGTTATAAGTAACGATTTAGGCATTATCTGCACATATCATATTCACTAATCATATCTCACGAGATTAGGACACGTTTTTGAATCTCGTATGTGACGAGGGAATACGCAATGTGATCTCATGACATTGACCCATTTCTTAATGGTGGAGAGTGAAATACGTACGTGTGTATCGGCTGAGATCCACACGAATGGTAATCGATACGCATCATATTGATGCTAACGTTGACGTGCATTGATGCCATCATATGTACCTGAGGCTAGAATTTTAATAAACACATTTCTATTATCACATATTAACTTTGGCCCAGATTACGTGGACATGTAATGAGTATAAAAAACATATTTTAAATAATATGTATATCAAATGTGCAGTCTTGCGAATAGTTTGTAGTATTAATTTTTTCTACTATTAAGGCACGTACTTTCGTGTTAAAGAAGCAAGTTATATTTTCTTAGCTTCTCTTAGATAAAATTAAATTGATGGAATTTTTAAATCGTTCTATTATAAGAATTTCTATTATAAAAATTTGGAACATTTATCCTTTTTTACTACATAAAAACAATAAACACTTTGCTGCTTACAATTTGTTAATGTTTTTTTCAGGTGCTTCTTAGAAAGTTATTTGTACTATTTGATCAAGATTGTGATGGGTTACTAAAACAAGATGAATGGCTCGAATTCCTCAAGGGGAGGTTGACGTAAGAATAAGTTCCTATCATACAAGTATCCATATATATCCTATGCATAAAACGTAATTTTCTAATGGCACTTTAAATATACTTATATTTGTCTCATTCAATGTTATTTTTATTTTTGTTTATTAGAAACGAAAAGCAAAATGATTTTGTCGATCAGATTGAAAGTGTTGCATATGTATTATGTGATGAGAATCCAATAAATTTGTCCAATTTTCAACAGATTTTCTATACCAAAGGGGTAAGTCGTTATTCTTACATCTAGAAAATAAGCAAGCAAAAATTACAATTAACAATTATCACATTATAGATCGTTGATAAATTGTACCGATTAATTGATCATGAGAATTCGGGTTATGTAACATCTACTCAAATCTTAGATATGATATCTGGAGTGAGTAACACCAGGTAGACCAACATGTTTATTATGAAACTGTAAAGATTTATTATTATTACCTTTGTTCTTATTAATTTTCTTAGTTTTATCAGTTTCTAAATATTTTTATTAACTGACTAAAATCTTACGTCAGGCCACGTACTGGCTTCGATAAAGGAAATCTTGAATGGCTGGAAAAAATATTTAAACAAACTGTTGGAAACGAAGGAGAAATATGCCTTGAAGAATTCAAAACAATCGTTACTTCGAAGAACGTAGGCAGGAGGCATAAGTATTCTTCATCTCTCAAACACGAAATTCTAATTTCTCATTTTTTTAATATAAAAGTTATAATTTTTTATTTCTTTTCGATGCTATTTTTTCGTCCTAAGTTCCAACAAATTCTAACGCAATACAAAATTCGTATATTAAATTTTGTACTGCATTACATTTTTTTAAAAGACAGATGCATCAATTTTATTTATTGATAAACAAATCAGGACTCACAGTAAATAAGCTAAAGTTACTTGTCATTTTGGGGTATATGATATTTATTATCTTAATATTTTTAGCCATTCTTTACTGAGAGAGTCTTTCAAATATTCGACAAAGACAACTCTGGTACGATATCGCTTCAAGAATTTCTAGACGCTATGCATCAATTCGCTGGAAAATCTATGAACGATAAAATTAGGTTCCTCTTCAAAGTTTATGATATCGATGGTAATATTCGCTTAATCACTCACATAAAGTATTTATGTAAAAACTAACTAAAAACATCTACTAAAAAATTAATAAACGTTTTTCAAATATTTTGAGATTTTTGTCTGAATACAAATTATTATTTTCATCACTTTACATTAATTTTTTTTTTCAAATAAAAGGTGATGGATTAATACAACTTCGCGAACTAGAACATGTTATGAGAGCTTGTATGGAAGAAAATGGAATGAAGTTTAGCGACGAGCAAATCGAAGATCTGACAATTGCACTTTTTGAGGATGCTGATCAAGGCAATAAAGGAGCGATTACCTTCGAAGGTTTAAAAAAGCAGTTAGCAAAGCATGAGGGTCTGCTGGAAAATCTCTCGATCAGGTTAGACAAAAAATTATATAAAATAGTACAAAACTTTTAAATTTATAAATCTATAATTGGATAAGCTAATTTATTTTTAATTAATATTTATTAAAGATATTTGATGTTCTTTTAATTATTAGATATATTAATTTTAAGTTATGAAATTCTATCAATTCTTTTAAAGTAAATACTAAACATAAAGAATAAAAATATAATAATCGTAGCATAGATCGATGGTTGGTACCACCGCAACCTAATTCAAAGAAGAAATCTATTTTGGATACGTTTTTGTCTCTTCGTCCGTATCAACTCACAAAGCCATACTTGAAGAATAATTATGTCTTTATTGCCTTCATTTCGATGTTCATGCTTATCAACGTGACTCTCTTCGTCTCTCGTCTCTACAAGTATCGAAATCACAGTGTTTACATAATGTTTGCGCGTGCCTGCGGTAAGGAAAGTATAATAATACAACATATCCAAAATTTTCTAAACCATCAGCATCTTAATGTGTCACGTAAACATAATCATTTTAGAATAAAATTTTTTAATTTTGAAGTAAATTTAATTATTAAAGCTCAGATTAAACTTCTGTTAAATTAATGTTTAAAAACAAAAATATAAGAATTAAAAACAAGTAAATATGATGTGTAATCGGCCAAATGACGGTCAAGCAGGATTTTAGTTGCTAATGTAATGTGTGAATTTTATTTATCACGTATGTAGTCTTACTGTTAGATAAATTATCTACTGTTAGATAATGTATTTATTGTTAGATTGTTAGATAAATTGTTAGATTGCTTGTCAATTTAACTAAAATGATATTACCACGGTAGTTTAGAGTTGCGTTGTAAGTCTGAAGAAATTTCGGCACGCGATTGAGGGGACTACATACGTGGTAAATAAAATTCACACATTACATTAGCAACTAAAATCCTGCTTGACTATCATTTAGCCGATTACACATCATATTTACTTGTTTTTAAATATCGACGGTCCAACACAAATCGTAATTATAAAAATTAAATTTTAAAAATATATTTTAGGACAATGTCTGAACTTCGATTGCACGTTTATTCTGATCTTAATGCTGCGCCAGTGCATCACGTTTTTGAGAACGCATAGCTTCAATTCATTAGTGCCCCTAGATCATCATATATATCTTCATAAAATGACAGGGATATTGATTGGAATCTTCAGTATTGTACATACCCTAATGCATCTCATTTACTGCGGTATGTATTTAATTTTTTATTTAATTATAATTTCATATTTTCTATTACCATAACTTAACATACTGAAAATTTATTATTGGAACTCTAATAAAAATTACATTAAATTTTTATTATTTTAATTTCAATTTAATACTCTATTTTATACTTAATTAAATTAAAATTAAATTAATTAATAACTAATGATATATTTGTAGGTACTGTAATAATAAAAGACGAGAAAATGAATAGCGGAAACTACACTATGTTTGAATGGCTATTAACCAGTCAACCTGGATATTTCGGTCTGGTTGCAGGCAGTGCATATCCGACTGGGATAGTTCTGTTTATTATACTCGTCATTATGATCGTCTGTTCTATGCCGTTTGTACGGCGTGGAGGTTGCTTTGAGGTACGAATAATTTTTACACATTATTACTTCCATTTATTTTTTAATTTAACTATTATAGTATAAATATAAGGAGAGCGAAACAAGCCAAATAAATTAACAAATAATTTAATTTAAACAATCATACAAATATATCAAAAACAAATGTTTCCACTCCGATCGGAGTAAATATGAAAGTTTTTATTTTGTCAAAAATAAGTAAAAATTTGACAAGGTAAAAAACTTTTATATTAACACGTTATGTTTTAGAATATTGTTAATTCCTTCTTTTTACATGTATTTTTCTATTAGGATTAATTATGCTTACGACACCAACATTGACTGAATCTTGCATTGAATCGAGAATATTTTGACTTAATGAAGAATGTATACAATATATTTTAATGTATAATACTTGATATTTTATGTAACATTGAAAATGATCCGATCGGAATCGAAACATTTGTTTTTGATGTGTTTGTATGATTGTTTAAATTAATAATAATATAAAAGTTGCTAAAGGACTCTTGATCATCATCATCATATCTTAAAATTGGCGTATCACGCTTTTTTGAAGCCTCTTTTCGTTGAGGCTGTTGGAATTCTCTGATTTTGATGTGATTTCGTATTCGAGGATTTTCGGGATCGATTATTTCGAATCTGTACTCAAAAATTGAAAATTCGAAATAGTGGATCTAATATGGCGGACGTAAAATTAACGTAAATCCTAAAGATTGTTCCATTTTGGTGAAATTAGGTATATTGGTGATTTAGGGGATGTTCGTTACGAATCCGTTCTCAAAAATTGAAAGTTTGAAATAGTTGATCTAATATGGCGGACGGAAAAGTAACTGAAATCATAAAGATTGTTCGATTTTTGTGAAATTAGGTTTATTGGTGATTTAGGGGACGATCGTTACGAATCTTTAGTCAAAAATTGAAAGTTCGAAATAGTTGATCCAATATGGCGGACGGAAACGTTACTGAAATTCTTAAGATTCTTCGATTTTGTTGAAATTTGGTTACAGGTGGTTTTTGAGGACGTTCGTTACGAATCCGTATTTAAAAATTGCAAGTTCAAAATGGCGTTTTGATTCAGTCTTCTAAAATCTGTTTTCGTTAATCTGGCGGATGGAATATAAGGGGGATTTTGGTTTTAGTATGTTTTTGAAGCAGAATTTAAATTAGCAAAAAAAAGCCCTTCAAGAATATGTACTTGATTTTTCACTTGCTACTATTTTTCTTTGAAAAATGGATGGATTTTAATCTTAAGTCAGCACAGCCACACTGTGGATCGAATCCTTCGACATAAACGATGAACAAAAAAATCGGATTCTAGATATTCTTAGAGCAAATAATTCTAAAAACATTTTGAGACCAAAATGATCCCAGCAATTGATTGCTTTAATGTACTTTACTCTTGTACGCGACCCAGCACAGCCACACTGTGGGACGAATTTTTCGACGTAAACGATGAGCAAAAAATTCGGATTGTGAACATTCTTAGAGCAAATAAATCTAGAAACATTTTGAGATCAAAATGATCCCGTCAATTAATTACTTTAATGTACTTTACTCTTTTACGCGAACCAGCACAACTACACTGTGGGTCGAATTTTTCGACATAAACGTTGAATAAAAAAATAAGCTAAATATTGTTTATCAAAATGGTAGAATTAATGTGGCGATC